GGCGTGTCAGAGTACGGACGGGCAGCTGGGGCAGCCCACGTAGCCTTATCCGGGCAACTATTAGGGCAGGTATCTCACCCCTATATAAAGGGGGGTGAGTCTCTCTTTCTAAACACTCTCTATTCATTCTCTAAATTCCAGTATACTTATACACATACTAACTTAAGCATCGGAGGCTCTTCACCGGACCCAACCCCGGTGTGAGAGTTATTTGCAGGTTTCCGGCGTTCTACCGGCAATGACAAGAACCGATCTACTCCAAACCGGACCCGGACGCTTACACTTGCATTAGTGTTGATTGCTCAACTAAATTGTATCTTGTTTGTTAGTCTCTTTTGTGCCAAACTTTATTGAAAGTTATGAGAAAATTTAACATTAAAAAAAAATATATAATTCACGAGTTGAGCCGAACTAAGTTGCACATACTTGAGTTCGTGCACATTCAAAAAATGAATCAACTCAACTCTTTAATATACAAGTCACCTTGTTTAAACTCGTGAAAATTCAACTCGATTCAACTCATTTTAATAAGCTTAAAATAGAAATGAATTCTTTCGTTGAAAATCTATATAAAAAAAAAATGAGTTCTTCACGAATAAATTCAACTCAACTTGTTTTAAGTAAATGACTGAGCCAAGACCGATCTTTTACGAATCAAACTGAATCGTGTGTGGAAGGTGAATAGCGCCCAATTTGAATGGCATAGTTCTAACTTCTAAGCTCAATCTTCGGATCTAACCCGACCCGATCCACAGAGGCAATAGTGGTACAAGACCGGAAGCTGAACCGAATTATCCTCTAATAAACACGCATTTTCTTTTCCGAGCAGGCAGCATGTTCAAAGCATTTTCAAAAACCTTCATCGGCAGCCACCACCATCTTCTCAGCTTCAAACCCTTCCCGAAAACCTCATTCCACCACCATACTGCTCTCCTAGCCATGTCCACAGCTGCCGCCGTCAAGCGCGTGGGCACCCACAACGGGAGCTTCCACTGTGATGAAGCCCTCGGCTGCT